GGTGGGTCGAAAATGCTGCGACAAATTTAGGCCGTTGGCCTAAACAGTTGTTAAAGTGCTATTTAACTTTTGTTGGGTTTCAGATCAACTTTGTTTAAATATGCCAAACATTTGGCAGCACTGCTACTAATTCCTTGAAATTGATGTTGAAGTTCTGAACAGCTGATCGGTTTTTGGTGGGACTGATAAAACATCCTAGCAATCAATCTTTGTTGTTTCGTACAAAACACAGGGTTGCATAGCTTATGTTTAAATAGCCGATATTAGCCATTTAAGTGCAGATTAAATGTATGATCTGAAAACGAATTGCGGAAGTTAACCAACAATCTCTACTTAAGTATTCCATCTGAAATTAGGCCTAAGACTATCGATACTAGCGACTGTAATGCACATTACAAATAATGAATAAAGCGATGGGTCTTGGCAACTCATACTAATGTAAATTACGATTTCGTAGTTCTTATGACACGAAGAGAGGGGAATCGAAAATCTACGTCTGTATTTACACGCTTTGTACACCACAAAAAAAATCGGAAATTTCTGCAGTTTGGAATTATTTTCCGAAATCTAAGGAAAGTAAATCAATCGCAGCGCTGCTCATTATACTTGGCGTAAGGATTATGATTATTAAACAAAATAACTGACCCATAAATCGCGCATCCGTAATTGCAACCTTTTTTGTATAATAAAAATTACATATACATATGTTAGTTTACCTTTTAAACATTATGGCCTTGTTTTAACAATATGCATATGATAATGGAAGAACGTAAAAAAGAAATAAATCAAGCAGTTTCCCTAATGGTAATCAAGGCTCTTAAACCGCCCTGAAAAGTTAATGATAAATGTTTCATTAATTTGTTTAATGTTATCTGCCTTCAAAAACAACGCGTAACATACACATAGTATGTGGTATCAAATACCTTTGGATTCCAGCATCATCTGTAGAGTCAGAGAGAGTTTTCAGCAAGGTCGAATTAACTATTAACGATCGCTGAATAAAACTTAAGTTTTTTTTCAGAAAAATGTTTATGAAAACAAATAAAATTGCACAAGATATAGTACTTTTAATTTGATAAAACGACGTCTTTTAATAAAAATTTGTTTTTTCTTATAAATGTTATACGGCCGACAGTATCGATAGTGTTTATCAATACTATCAGCATATATCGATAGTGAATACTATCGATAGTTTTCCACTTCTAACGGCGCGTTTACATTAAGGCCTGTATGCAGCTCTCAAGAAAAGCAAAAAATGGCTAAGAAATTTTCTTAAGTAAAATTTCCTTAAGGCAGTACGAAGTTCTTAAGGAATTTACTACGCTTTCTACTACGGTTTTCTAAAGTTTTTTGTGAAAAAAAGAGCTGAAGGCAACCCAGGTTTGCAACAGAAATATATGCCCGTTCCATTATTTCTTGAGGAAACAGTATCAAAAATGTCAGAATTCCTTGGACACACACACGAAATAATGGCAATTTTTTCTTTACCGTTTTCTTGAGAGCTGCATACCGGCCTTTAATTGCAAATACAAAAGGAATTATTTGCCTTTGCGAACGTTCACGCACACGCTCGCATTGAACTGTATAGCACGCTTTAGGATTTACAATAATTTTGAAGTATTGTGCAAGAAAGAAGAGAAATTCATAACCAAAGAACTATAATAACTGAAGATACGCTGATGTGTATGTATCTTTGTATTTTCTTTATTATTTTTTAGCTTAAATAGCTCAGACTATGTTCAAACAGGCACCTTATACCATGTTCTGACCGACATCGAAAACATGTTTTCGTTGGTAAAACTGGTTTTCGACCTAAAACCTGTGTTTTCGTCCATGTAAAAACTGCCAAACGAAAACTAGTTTTCGCTGAAAACCACTTGAAAATTCACGTTCCACTCATTCCAATCGGTGTCTGCACTAGTTTTTTTCGATTATTTATCGAAGTGGAAGTCATATTTTATCATCTTTAATACGTCATTTCAGATTTATTGTTAATTGGCTGACCAAAATAAAGTAAGCATGGAAGAAAAGGTTGTTAATGAAAAGAAATTGAAGGAAAAGGATTTTGGTTTTGTTTTTGTGTAGCAAAACTGTAAACAAAGGATGAAAGAAATGTCAACGACAACACCAACAGTCGGTGTGAACAGCCTTCAGCCCACAATCCCAAAACTCGTTTTCAAGGTGTTTTCGTTGTCAGTCAGAACATGGTATTATTGGCAATTAAGAACCTTTTCACCAATTTAGGCCTTGATTGTTACACAATGCCTGAACTGGTCTCTGGTATGAAAGGTCATGTTATAGTTAAACTATGTACACATTACCAACATAAAATACTTAGTTTCGTTTAAAATACCTCACTAAATTAAGTGCGTTCATACACGCGATTCTTTATTTGTCTTGACAGCTTTGTAGCAACCCTGTGTTATTGTTTATTTAACCAAAAGAGATCGCGAATGTGAGTAATTGCGTATATTTTTATATTCTGAGTTGTTTGTGGTAATTTTTTAGATTTCAGATGAGTGATAAAAAGAGAAAGCTTCTGGAAATATTTTACAAACTACCACGCGCGATTATTAAAAACAAAACCATCCAAACACAATGACATATCAGTTATGGGACAATACTTTTTTCGATTATTATCGATAAAATTAGAACCGACACTGATTTGTTCATGATTTGGTTCTTGGTTTAAGATAAACTACGTACTTTCAACTTAATCTACTGAGAGACATTACAAGGCGAAATTACTTAGTTTGTACTTAATTTATGCGTAAATTAAGATTGACCTCTAAATTACGCCGATGGGAACATAGTTTTAGCTCCGCGAAGTTTGTGCTTTACATCTAGTAAACACAACACATAGTACATACATACAAACACGTCTAACGAATTGTGAACCATAATAAACACAAGTGTCGATAACACCGTGCGATAAGGCTTGGGACGTCAGCAAATAAATAAAAAACACTCAAAAGTGCAGCGAAGTGTCAGCCAAGAAAATGGGTGACTGCCATAAGTGCAAAGGCCTAATACGCGGTGAGAGTGGAATCCGCTGTGTAGGTATATGCGGCAAAGTGTTTCACTGGGCAAAGAAATGCTCTGATCTCGATGAGTTCAGCAAAAAAGTTGTTATGGTCCGCTTACGATGGGAGCAGCAGTGAGTGCAGGCGGCATGACACAATGAGGACACTGTGGCTAGTCATGTCGGCTGGGCGGGGTTCTTGCCTCACTACTGTTCCCTGCGCCATAGCAGAGAAAAGTCATGCCTTGTCAAACATTCCAACGGACGGACACACAGCAATTCAAAATTAAAAAAAAAAATCCGTTACAAAACAAAAAAAAAGCTGAAAAAGAACGTTAAATTTAAAATTTAAAACAAAATGAAAAGCAAAAGAAAACAAAAACCCAACCACGAAAACTTACATGAAAAGCAAATGAACAAAACGGAAAAAAAACCCGTGGCCGAATATGAGGCACCACCGCTGGTATTGTGGTGCTTGGTGCTGGCCCACCCTCATCCGTGGCTGCTGGCGCACCCTAATATCAGCAGCCCATTTCTGAAATCCTATCGTGCTTTCTCAAATAACGGAAAGAGTCGGCATTCCCATTTTAATAACAATTTATTCAGACAAATTCATTTTCTTACGGCTAAATTAATCCTAAATCTTAAATTTCCTAACATCTAAATCACTATCGTCTAAATTTAGTAAATGGTTGTGTGATTTATGTACGTCTATGGTAAGTATTAAGTAACTGTAGGTAAGTTGTCTTCGATATATTTAATTTTAATTCATTATAATTAAGGTAAGTATATGTAGGGTATTTAAGCTGAGTTAAATTTATATAAGTACGTATAGGTAAGTATATAAGCCAAAGGTTAAATTAAGTAAGTCCGGTAAGTAAACTAAGTCTAAGTCAGTTCCCTTTTTTTTATATAAATATATATTTTTTTCCCCGTTTTAGGTTCTTTTAGTATTATTCTCTTTTAATCTTCTATTTTCTCCCCTTTTTCTTTTTTTTGTTTTATTTTATTTTTTTGTTTGTATACAAAAAAAAATAGTTATAGGTGAGTTATATTTTCAGTATTTCATTTATTATTATTACCAGTTATGTTAAGTTTTTAGTTATATATTGGCCTTTTTCCTTTTATAATGATTTAGTTAGTTATTTAGAATGATTTTAGTTGATTTTTCGTTAACTTTCTACTTTAAACTTATTTTAGTTTTGTAAATGTTTACTAATTTGTAGTGTATTTTATTTTGTTTTAATTTAATTCAATTTAAGTCGATTTCATTCCTTCAATTTAATTTAATTTAATTTATTTATTTAAACGCATATATATATTCCCTGGTTCCCCTTAGTACATGCATATATGTATGTATGTACATACATGCATGTATACTTGCGCATATAGGTAATTACATCTATAGTTGTTTTCTTTTGTACCCGAGCTGCAAAAGAACGATAGGTAGGTAATCGAATTACGTGGAAAGCAACAACACAAAATAAGCAAGTTGAGTTAATATAAGCGGTTTGAGTTGAAAACGCTTAAACAATAGCCGACCTGATGAATAGTGTTGCAAAGTAAAAAACCAGCACTATTGTGAATGACTCACTGAAAAGTACTAAGGGAAATTTCTGCTAAATGTCAAACTGATGGGGAAATTTCAGCCAAACTTCAAAAAAAATTAAGAGAAACAAAATGGAGCAGCAGTGAGTAAAATAGCGTCTCATAGTTTTTTATAAAAATATCAAATAAAATATGATTTATATTTCAGAATACAAGACAAGAAACGAAGAAGATGGACCCGCGAAGAAACCACAGGTTTTTTGAGGTGCTACTTTGCGCGGAAGGAAGAATTC